ACCTAGAAAGAGTTTCGACAATTTTCAGATTCAGGCTCTGCTTAAAAATTACAAGAGTGATTCTATTACCATTAATTGAAACAACAAGATTCAATTACATTGCTCCGAGAAATTGAAATTGATTCTATTGATGAAACACAAAACAAATTACTCTAAGTGCTTACATTAATTTTGAATAAACATGACTATATCTTGAAAATAACCTGATCAGCACAAGAGCTAGATCGCAAAACGAACACCTCTGCAGAAAGACTATAACTTACAATGACTTGGTAGCAAAACGACTAGATATCGAAATGACCGTATTGCTAAATCGACCATTACACTTAAATCTAATTCCATCAATTTATCAAGTATTATTTTCTTTTTTTTTTTATAAAAAAATAAGTGCGTATTTCACCTCCATCTCACCTGATGGAAAGTGACGATGAGGGCGACGATGTAGCTAGCATGTACACCTAAATAATGCCTATTCACTCTCGTCTTGAAAAGGTACAAGTTATAGCGTTCGGGAAATAAATCCGCAGGCAGGGAATTCTACGCTTTAGCCGCTCGCCATATAAATGTGGAAGCGAAACGTGGGAATAGTCACAACATAGGGGTGAAACGCCAGCCCACGTCTAGTCCCCCGATGATGGAATTAAATTATGCAATTCCATTGCACACTCTCCGTAATATATCCTGTAGAATAACAATAGTATAGATAAATTCTCTCCTTATTATTAAACTAGTTATTGAATATGTTAATTAGCAATATGGCAAGCAACGCTTATCTTTTCACTTTGTTAACTTAATTAGGCTTAAACTAAGTTGGCGTTTTCTTTCCGCGTATACGGAAAATCTAGTCGTTTCTACACGCTATGAGAAAGGCAACTGGTTCTATGCGGTGTATGTCAATGGAGCCTGTTGCGAACTTTGGTTTATTGTAAGATTGGACACATTATGCTTTAGGAAAAGGGTCTGGTCTATAGCCAAGAAGTTATGTTCATATTAAATGAATTAAAAGTCGATATTTTTAACCCACTTAAAAAAAGGAGGAGGTTCTCAATTCGATGGTATTTTTCTGTGTGTATGTTACGCGATTACTCCGACATTTGTGAACCGATTTCGATGATTCTTTTTTGTTGAAACCCCCCCCCCCCCCTCCCCCCTGTACCTCAGTATTTGTCTCATTCTAATTTGAAGAAAATATTACACCTCTAAGGGTTGAGTTTTCAATAAAACTTGGCAAATAGATGTAATCTCACAAAGTTTAGAGAACGGTTTCTGGTTCGGGTTCTGTATAAAAAAGTCATAATTATTATAACGCACAGTTGAGTGCACGTCAAGTTTGACACTTTGGACCGTAAACGAAACTGAAGTGGTATATAGTTGAATTTAATTTTTAAGCCTCAAGCTTCACATATATATCTGTGCTTGACATCCTCTTGATACTGTACAAAAATTAAGTAAGTATAGAAATTTATCAATTTCCGTAGCGTATAGACAATGTCTCCTTTAATTGCATGGTATGAGTTGCTTACTTATTCCAATTTATTTCCAACAATAATTTTTACAAAGTTTTGAAGCATGTTACCCCACCTTCTACGGAAGACGAATTAAAACGACCCACCTTATATAGTACTTGCAGAAATTAATCAGTGACAATTTTAATAACCTAATTATTATCTTTAATGAAAGTTTCTTGACTTTATTTAAAAGAGTCACGTAACTTTGAAGTTGTTAACATTCTAATTTTCATAATAAATCTGTTGTAATAAAGTGTTCATTGCAGTTTTCTCGGCTGAGTGTCCGAGTCAATGACCGACTGCCGTGCGAGAAAAGTTCCACTGTACGGGTAGCACTTCAACCATGACAATATGGATCGTGTTCCGTGGAAACAAGTCTTTCGAACCTACTATAATAGAGGAACTACTTAGTATATTACATACATAGAGAAAACAAAATTTACTCGGTGCAATGTAGTCGCAAAATAACTGATTTATCACCTTGTTTTAGTATCATGAAGAGAATATTTCTAGAGATTTCTTGTCGACACAAACTTCATCGATAATTTATGTTTACTTACTCAATAATATTAAACAAGGCATAAGTGGAATGTATCTTTAGGTGACAGATAACCTTGTAAAGGCATAGAGAGCGATTACGAAACTTTCTTTCTTTATTGATAAGATTAACATTATATTCAATATATATAATATATATAATAGGTTAAGCATTTTTTTAGTGTTAAATTAGAAATTATTCTAAAAGTAACGAAAATCGAATTCGTTCGTCGTCGAAAAAAAAGTTCGTAGTTTTTAAAAGTATATAATTATATCACATCATGTTAACGGGTGGTGTCGGATGTAGCAATTTTTCGATGGAATTTATTATATTAATAAAAAATCAGTTTTGCTCTTACGAGCCTTAAGTTTGCGATTCATAGTATGTACCTACTTAATGAAAGAAAAGTAAGGTTTTATATTATATTTATTTTTATTTTTTTTTATGATACCATGTGCGGGATGAACAAGTCGTGTACCTGATTTAAGCGACACGCTTGTTCATATTATGTATTTCAATATTTACTTCTAGGGCGATACATTTTTCACAAATCGTTGAAAAATTTTCCTTGTTATCTACGTTATGGCCGTCTTTATTTCATTTTCATCTAACTATAACTTTGGCCTCGCAGCTCCTTTTTTAACGTTAAATTGATAGGTGAACTTAGGGTGGGTGGTCAATTTCTTAGATACCTGTGTGTTTTAAGGTCGGTTTTGACATTCCCGCGACATGACCAGCAGTGTTGTGTTGTAAAAACAGCACATCGCGCTTTAGTTTGCCACGTCGCTTCTTTACGATTGTTCACGTACCGTACTTAAGCCAATAAATCAGCGTAATATTGGCCATTAATTGCAGACCCTTTAGGCGGTTATTAATTAATAAAGTTTCCAAGGTATTTAAGAATATGGTTGCTAAGATTTTAGACACCGACTTTCCACTTTGAATTTCTACGGTGACCTTTCTCCTTTTTTTTATAAATTATTATATACATATAACATCTAGCATCATTCATTCAGATTGTCGTCAGGCAATTCCAAAAACTTTTTACGACTTTTGAGTTGACGCTGCTTGTTGAGCGGTGTGAGCATTCACGCCATCCAATGTATATGCATTTTTTCTTTAGGTACTGGTCGTCCAGGGTGGAAGGTAATCTTCACAGGGTTCTCGTCCGTGAAATAAGGAAGTAACTTTTTTGTCATTCTGCACACGAAAGCGCAGAATCGTAAAGAACCGGCGACATATCTTGAAAAATTTCTTTTGGCGTATTTTCTTTTTAAATTAAGGAATTGATGCTTCAAATTGCGAGGCGTTTGTTGATATGGTGATGTTGGTTGTTCGAGAGATCAATGGTTTATAACGTTTTTTTGTTCTGACTGATCCGGATCTTCTTCCTTCTTGGTTTTTAGTTCGTATAAAAATTTTAGTAGGCACGGACCTCGGCTTACGATGCTACTGGAAACTTCATTCCTAAGGGGTGCTGTAGAACCGAATCTGTGCGAGTACATGCTGAAGTGGGATATGAGCAAAACAAAAAAACGGTTGTACTACAACATAGTGACGCGACGCGAACTTATCAACCGCCTCTGGTATGGTTGGACATTATGTATAATTACTTAAGCATAGTACTAAAATTCATTTGATGGCTTTTAGATGGACTAAATACTGGCAATCGCCTTCAATAATAGATCTAGATAGCAATGTCAGTACTTGGTAACTGTTTTGTACCAAAGGCTTTCTGAATTGTAAGTATGCTCTACCATAGGATAGAGGTGACATCAGGTTGAGATATCACATTGTCAAACTAAAACATTATTTCTTTACAAGAAGTATCACTGCTCATTCTTTTAAACTATTGCTATTGCGTACGGCCGATAGCATATAAAGTTACACATTGACGGATCTTGTTCGGTTGCACTAGAGGCGATATTCTAACAAAAGTGTACAGCTTGATGTGCTGGTAACAACATGAAAAAACAGTTCGGGATGGAACGTCAATTTATTGAGGAATTTCTAAAAACAAACTTTAAGTACAGTTGTTGTTTTTAACCTATATACAACAGCACTTCAAAAATGTCCTTCAGTTTTTTGAACACCCCGTAAATTTGCAAGTAAACTTTGAATGCAGCTACCACGTGCCTTGACACGATGGTATTTTGCAAATGTCATTGATAAAGGTACACGCAAATCCGCTTTTCAATTTGAGTCTTGTTTATTATTTGTTTTTTATTTTGTATATATTTTGTAAGTATAGGAAATAAAACTACCTACTTACTTTTTCGGATCTTAATCACTTATATTTGTGTTTGCAAAAGTAACCAAAATTTTGGGCCCTTTACAGGTTTCATGGTAACTGCTAATAACGCGACTTAGGTCCGAAAAAAATAGCTTCATTTCCTATATGTAACAAACGCGAAAACCTAAGAATTAAATATTAGTAAGTAGTTAGTCTCTTAGCGAATTAGTTATTATTATTACTGTAGATAAGAAACTGTAGCCACGTTGAGGAAACAGTTGCTGGTTCGTATCCGGTCAGGTCGAAGGAGTTTCTCTTTGTGTTTGTTCGATGTTTGTATTAATAATAATAAACTAATGGAGTATTTTCACAAAAAAAATGAATATCATGGTTGCAAAAACTAAATAAATATTCAATAAAAATAAAAGAAACTTGTATGTTGATTATATATAATTAAATTATAGAAATTCCTTATGAAGTAAGAACAGGAACGCAATAATTGATCTCATTAAACATGTTAAATGACATCTTTCCGAAACGTTTATTGTTTATAATTTGGTGTAATTATTAAGATTCAATTGCAACACCTCTTTTGTTTTACCGTCTACCGCCTTTCATGCGCTTACTTCGCTTGCTTTTACCTTTGCATTATCTAGATTCACTTATCTTGGTTCCAGCGATTGTACGAAGGTAGACGTAGTCGCTTTGCGCGTTCGGTGCAGTACGGTCGCGAATTAGGAACATTCCCAAGCTGATTAAATACTCAATAAACGTTAAGTTTTTGTGCTGTTAATTTGTGAATGAAGTGCTTGTACTTAACGGTGACATTGCAAGGCATTGCGGCTAACGGAGTGCTACGGTCAACTTGAGAGGTTAGTGAGCACCGATTTTTAGATCTCTCTCATTCCCGTTTCGTTTTTCTTACGGTACCATGTGTGATATGCATATTTGAATGCTAGATTACGGTATTTGTTACCGGTGTATTGTACCCTCAGCAAATGGTTTGTAGTACGCAGGAATATTATACTTGAAACTAATTCGTTACATGTCATGATGTATGAATAATTGTCACATGATTAATTAAGTTGTACTAGACACTCAAGATATTGCGGGTAATTCTTAAAACAATGTCTGAGGTAGTTCGTTATACAAACAAAGCTCTAAACATAAGTACGTAGTTTCTTTTGTATAGATCTTGTCCTTAAAATACAGATAGTGTAAAGTTTACATTTCCCTGCATGATTTCCTTAAGGTGCCTACAGTCTGTCGGATTTTTTGACGATCGACACGTGTCGGTCTCACAAAAAATACGATACCGATCGTCTGTTTCTTACGCATTTTCTCAATCTCTTCTCAGTCTGATCACACATTATCGACAAAAAATACGACTTCAATCGTGTGTTGCTTACTTTATTTCTGATTTTGTTGATCGTCAGAACGTCCACCAAACCTGCAGGCACTTTAAGAGTGTTTGTGCGGTACGTCCTATTCGTACCTGGGGGTCTACTCTCGATCTCCGTCTGACATCCGTCCGAAACAATTACTGCCAAATAAGCAATACTTGACCAAATGAAAAGACGCGTGATGCGAATGAAGCTTCATGCTGGATACATGTCTTTTAATTTTGCCGAATATTATTTATTTGACTGTAATTGTTTCGGACGGATGTCGGACGGAGATCGAAAGTAGCCCCCCAGTTCCGAATCCGAGAAATGACGGTCCGAAATGTTATAGGGATCATTTTATCTTTAGGTGTACGTACGAATTACTCGTGTAACTATTTATATCCAATAGTTAGTGGTAAATTCTTTTAATGCACAAGATTTCACTTTACGTCGTGTTGGTTGCCATAATACACGATCTTCGTACGCTTGGCGTAACGGCGTTCGAATATCTAGTAAGCCGCACCAATGACCTAGACAACCTAACAATGCTTCTTTTAATATGTACTAGGTCCATAAACAACTTTTGACGGCAACTTTCATTATTAATTGTTGTTCTACATGTTAATAACCTACACGTACGGAAGCGATCGGAATTGATAATTTTACGTTTACGTTACAATAGTACGTTTACGCGAATTTGCGTGATCGAAGTGCGGAAGTCTTGTGACCGCCTAAAAAAATTGGGCTTCCGACTACTGCGTCCATTTTACCAATTTGAATTTAAGTAGGATACTATGATTCTAGCGCCTTGTTGAGTAAAAAAAATTGTTTCTACCGAACGAACGGTAGTGGGTTTTGTGTTTCAGGAAACGGAAAGTCAATTCCAAACTCCACACATGATTTTAAATTTGTCCTACCTGATCACATGGGTAGTTTCTGTTAGCTATTATATTTATTGTGAATTAAATACGTAATGTGATTTGTTTGTTGAACGATTTTCTCGATCAATATATAGAAAACAATATTTTAAATCAATTATATTGATTAAAAACAATATTTTTTTTTGTATTTCTGTGGTACTACACACTTTCGATTTAAATTTTGTAATGGCCAGCAAAGATTATAACGAAATGAAAGAGTTAAGACTTGAAAACTGTTTTCTTGACTGTAATAATCTCCTAAAGGTTTGTGCTGTGATATCTTTAGCTTTCGTTTCCCTTCTACAATTAATTTGTAATTTTATTTGAAATAGTAATTCTTCTTGTTGGTTAAGAAGTCATGAAAGTAAAATGAAAAACATTTAAAAAGATATATCCAATTTTAACCGGTTTTATCTATTTGCAATGAACTTATCTATACAAAGATATCTAAATAGGTAATTTTAGAATTCACCTTTCAAAAAATGTCCGTCTTCTTATAAAATACAGTGTCGATTGATTGGTCTCTTCTTTGTCAAAGTCATGTCTATTCAAAGAATTTTGTAAAGACCTAAACAAGTCAAAATATGAAGGGGCTATTTCGGCCGAATACGGTGGATGTGTGCTTTGGCATTATCATGATGAAATACGTACGACACCTTTACGATTCACCAGCTCTGGGCGTCTTTCATATTTCATAAATTTACAATTTTCGCGCCTATTTTTTAAATGAAGACAATGGACAATATAACATTTTAAATGAAAAGGTCGTTTTTTGTTTAAAGTTTAGCTACTGGCAAAAACCGCACGTACTTTTTGGCCTACCTATTAAGTTTGAGTTGAGGTCAAAGATTTCTGAAAAAATCCAGTAGGTAGAAAGCATTCTATTTTCCATAAATATTACCAATCGCATTTTTCACAGAAAAATTTTCGGTCACATAGCAAAACGTTTTTGTGCAACTTCTTTTCATCTGCCTCGAGAAAGCGTGTAATGGAGCATAATATAAATATCAGATATCGTGATGCGCGCCTGCGCTTGCGTTGCTCGAAAAGATCGCCTATTGCGATCGCAATTCAATACGTCTTTAGTGAACGCCGATATTTCCTTCTCAATTCTGTTGCAACGAATCAATTCTTAAATAACTTATAGACAAAGATTTGTAGATCTTTTAATTTTGTCTTTCGGTATTTGAAATTTTCAGCGCTGCTGTTAACAAGTTCTCGTGCTCTATCTAAATTACTTCCTGATCGTTATCGGCGATATACTCTTTGAAACATCATGTTATCTTCTACAAAAATAGTCTTAAATGTTTTAGTATCGTCACATTCATATAAATCGGTTTTCTGTCGTCACTCTATATTCGCCTTCAGATGTAAGTAACTATTTGGTTTACAACAGTTTTCGTCAGTCACCGTACTACCAGAGGAATGGTCAATATTCACGGTGGTAATGTTAAACAAAACGAGTAAAGGACGCAACAGACGATCGACAGACAATTTAGTAGCTGTAGAGCTCGTTGTGAAAGAGTTCGTCCAGAGAAGTCAAGGTATTTTGCCGCCTATAACGAACCACAACGTCGTTACAAATCTTTGTGAACAAGGTGTATTTATATTTACCAGTACTTGTGTTGGCACCTTTTATGATTTTTGAGTCTTTATGTTGATATTCTTGTAGCATAAATTTGTGATTTTTTTTTCAATACGCTCTATATGATTTGTCTGATCTTGCGCACTCACCAACAACACGCGACTCTTGTTCATACAGTCAGCGACAGATGAGTACTGAGTAAGAGCAAAGTCCTCGGGTGTGAAGGTCCTCGTCCAGGGAAGTACTGCCGCCTTGCTTATATCTGCTGCCAAACAGTAATGTGAGCATTACTGCGTTCCGGTTTGAAAAAGTAAGGATGCTGGTGAAATTACAGTCTCATGGGACATTGTCAAGTAATGTCTCAGGGTGATGGGCGCAGTGCCCCTAAAATCTTTACAGTTTAAAGTTCTGAGTGCACTGTAACTGTTATGGATATGCGCGTCGCGTACTACCAGGCGCATGACTTGTTCATCCAGTCACTTGGTATTATATAAAAAAAATCGTATTTTTTGTCGATCGACATCTATAATCAGATCTGGAAAAATTGCTAGAGAGCCAACTGAGGTGGTACGGATATGTTATGCGACGACCGCCTGATCATATGTCAAGAGAAGTCCTTGACATGAGTAACCAGCTCTAGAGACGCGGTAGACCCCGTCTCACATGGATATCCCTAATCAATAAAGATCTGCGAGAGCAACAGTTAAGACTACAGAATATCCAGGACAGACCGTCTTGGAGGAGTGACCAGAAGGGCCGACCCCAAATAAGGCCAGGCAAAAAAAGAAGACGTCTGTAATCAAATCAGATATAAACGAGTAAACGTGTAAGAACCAGACGATCGATATAGTATTTTTTTAGATCGACACGTGTCCATCGTCAAAAAATCGAACCAAACGAGTCAACCTATAAGCATTTACGTCTGTTTTGTATCCTTATTGGTTTTAACATATCGCTTACAAAACGAAATTTCTTAACTAATATAAACTTAACTAGTTTAACAAAAAATCTATGTAGTTATAGTATAATTTTTTTTAAATTTCCTGTTGCAAATCATGAATAGCTTTTCTTTCCTTGACGGCGAAGTAGGTACATATTTATGACACGTACTCGTAATTCCAATTACAATGTGAGTACAGTTCTTTGACTCTCAAGGCAAAAGTCAATGGTATAGTCGTGTGAAAGTTGCATTAAAATTAATTGTTTAGAATAAGAGAAATAAACGACTCCGTTACTTCATTTGAGAAAGCTAGCGGTAATTAATCCAATAATTGAGGTAAAATAACTGTCAAATTGTAATGTATAATTGTAGCAATGTTTTTGTGTAAGTATAATAGAAAATTAAGATTGTCTAAACAAAACTTCTTATAAGTACAGTTGACTTAAACACTAGCTGATGAATTAGAATATTTTTTATTTTTATTAATACAAAAGTAAAATAATATGAGCAAAACAAAATAACATTAAAAGAAACCACTTGAAATGTATATTTATTCTATGTTTTATTACAGTCTGAGATTAATGCTACTGGTACAGCACGTAGTGTTATATTTTCTCAATTACGTGAAGTCGTCATGGAATCTTGAATTCAGTGATTTTTAAAATTGCGTTTATCTAAAAGACCGAAGAATTCGAATTAATTTTCATAGAAATTGTAAAGTATTGGGTACTTCGCTACGTACGTTTGGTTGGTATTATTTTTGTTAGTTGAGAGTTATACATATTTTTAGTTATAGCGTTACATATGTTCTATGATTGTTACTGCAAAGAAGTTGGGAAACACTGGGTGAATTTTCATTTTAGGCACAAGCACGTATAATTCCTTACAACTCAGAGAGCTAACAATCTTATACATACACACATATCCCACCGGGGTAGGCAGAGACCATTCACTTTCACCCGCTACGCTCCTGACAAACCACCATCGACTTTATTCTTCGTACTTGTGATTCGGCCTTTTTAAGGACATCCCCAATTTGATC